ATTGTTAATCGATACAGAGTAAGAGTTGACCAATCAAATGTTAAACAACACTTACCAGTTGCTCTGTCCTGTAGAGAATGTTTCACAAATTACTCATCTGTTTTTGAGTGTATTGCTCAACTCACCTCTGATGACCAAATCCATTGGGAGCAGAAATTACACAAGGTTTGTTGATGACAGGATTGGTCTGACAGAAAATGATGCCAGGGAACGACTTGCTAGGTTCAGAGTTGGGAATTTGAGGAGATGAGACCAATCGAGCTGTGACAGCTTGATTCTGATGATCGGTGGAGACCACCGTGCACACTGGCTGGTTAGACTGAAGGAATGTTCTCAAGTTGGTGGTAGAGGTAGCAGGAAGAATGTTTGATTTTCCTAATATAAAACTTCTTTATTACATTGCCATTCATCTATTTCAGAATTTAATACAGTTTTCTATGCAAACAAATAAACTTCAATGTATCAGTTACTTAAAAAACTGTTAGGGAAAGAAAACAGAAACTTTAAAACTTTTAGATGTGAATACCAATAAACTTAGATAAACCCCTATTAACATGCAGACATATAGTTAAACATCTTTAAGTACTAAAAACTCTGCTTTATTGTCTACCTTTAAAGTAGCATGTTTTACACACTTATATAAAAAAATACTAAATATAAAAACATACATTAAAATACTTAAGCTATTTTTTAACTTATTTACATATGGTAATTATTATTATTTAACTTAACAATTTACAATTAACTGACTGACCTGGGAATCCTAAAATAATTATAAATCTAATAAATTTAATGCAAGTATAACTATCATACAGAAAAGAAATTACATTCTAGATAGTGATTGTGCAATGAGATAGTAACAATAAAGTTAATACATTGAGACTAGGGCACACATTTACAAATATCCTGAGATTAGGACAAGGTTTATTTCCAAGTAGACTGAGATAGTACACTTTTTACTTGCAAGTAAAATAAGTTATTACAATAGAACAATGCTCAGTGTTTTAGTTTACACTGGAGGACTTGCAGTCAATTATAGTTATAATTAAAAAAAAAAGCTAGAAAACTGTCAATTCTTACGCTGCTCTTGTGGCAGCTGACACTGACTCAACTTCCGAGTCACTGTACTTCCTGTGTCTCCAGAAGTCGGCACACCACTGCCAGGTAAAGCTACTGTGGTTACGACTGTTGAAGAAATCTGGGAATTGGTTATCGGGATAGCTACAGCAGTTGCCACTGTAGGGAGTACAGCTTGCTGGTGATGCATGAGTGACTGCTGGTGCTGTAGCTGGAGTTTAGACCTGGAACATACAAGTTTATCTGTAATTTTTAAGCTATAAATTATATGTGTTTCTCTGTGATGAAAATACAGGGTCTTCAGAAAATAACTTTCTAGTTTTTAATCACATTTATCTACTGAAATACCTTAATTACAGTTTTAACTTCAGTGTCAAACACACGAGAACAGAGATTTAAATCACGTGAACCATCAGCATCCAAAACCATTTGCAGACGTCCAGAACTCCAGCCACAGTCTCTTGACTGATGCTGGCCACAGTGGTTGTAATTTCTGCTAGGGGGCAGCACAATACAGTCAAAACCTCATGTGTTCTTTGACACTAAAATCAATACTGTAAGTAAGATATTTCAGCAGATATATGTAATTAAAACTAGAGCATATATTTTTGAAGATCCTGCAGTTTCCCACAGTTCCAGGTATAACTTGAAATTAAAAAGCCACATAACTTAATATATACATTTATCTCGATTGATACACACCTAGAAGATGAGATTCATACATTTATTTTACATGAACAACTACATAACTAAATGAGATGTTGTTACTCATAAATTTTATAAAAACAATTATGTGACTAGACTGAATGGAGGTCTGTTACTTCTGGCTGCCATAACTTCCACTGGACTAGATGTTGTCATCTGACTACTTCCATCAAAATAAGAATTAAGTCACTCAATAAGGTGAGGATTAAACGTCTGTTACACTAATTTTACGAGGACAACTACGTGACTAGATATAAGATTAAGTTATCTTACAAGTAGAACTATGTGACTGGATGTAAAGTTAAGCTTAAATTACAAAGTCAACTACTTGACTAGATTTCAAGTCTATTTTACATGGACAACTACATGAATAGAAATGAGGTTATGTATATTTTACACGGACAACTACATGAATAGAAATGAGGTTATGTATATTTTTCATGGACAACTACATGAATAGAAATGAGGTTATGTATATTTTACATGGACAACTACATGAATAGAAATGAGGTTATGTATATTTTACCTGGACAACTACATGAATAGAAATGAGGTTATGTATATTTTTCATGGACAACTACATGAATAGAAACAAGGATGGGTTTATTTTACAAGGACAACTATGTGATTGGATTCTAGGTTAAGTTTATATGACAAGGAATATTCTATGCACAATTTAGCACTTTTTCAATATTTTATTTCTTTAATACAGTAATTATTTGCAAGATGATCAATTCTGTTACTGTTCAACTTATTATTCTTTATGTGTAATGCTATTTTTACTTTATCTATGGTTTCCATTCTAAGTGTAGCTGAGTATATAAAACATAACAGAGAGATATAAGGACCAAATATCTTACTTTTGCAGCTCCCACTGCAACTCCTGGATTTGTCTTTGTTGAATTTTAACAATGTCTTCATTTGTTATATTGTTCCCAACATCTAATGAAGTGTTGTCCACATCCATTGGTACAACAGAAGCAGGAGAAGCTAATGTGGCCTGCTCCACACTAGCTGGGGATTTGTAAAGGGTCAGGGATGTTTCTGGACTCGATAAAACTGACAGAGATGTGTCCATAGCAACTACTGGAGAAATTGGAGCCATCTCATTGTCTGGACTTTGTTGTGGAATTGTGGAAATAGTGTCTAGGATGATGCCCCCTACATTAATTGGCAAAGATGGAGCACTGTTACTTCTGGTTGCCAGAACTTCCACTGCACCAGACGTTGTCATCTGAGAGCTTCCATCAAAATAAGACTTAAGTCGCTCAATAAGGTGAGGCTTGGACCCTGACACAGGCAGGTTTCGTCTCTTCAATTCTGCTTTCAGGTCACTCACTGATGTAGACAAACACATGCTATTTTAGAAGTCAGTGACTTAAACTAACTGATTCTAGAAAGTGATAAAAGAAAGGATGATGGTGAAAATATTCCATTCCTCATCAAAATTACGTTCCACCTAAAAGTAATCTTTCTTTATGTAAGTACACAGTCACTATAGAGTATGACCTTTTTTTTTCTTTTATTACTTTAAATAACAAGACATACTAGAAATAAAATTTTCAAAGTAATGAATGTTACTTGTTTTCTTTACACATGATTCACTGTTATTGGCATAATATTGGACAAAACAATATGATAAATGTATACACACACCTTTCATTTCTTCTAGCTTGGTTAGTGACTGTTGGTTTGAAGGACTACTTTCTTGAATGGAAGTATGCCCACTGGTCAGAAACTGAGTTTGATCCTCGTGTGGTTTCTATTACAGAGATAGCAAGGAAAGGGGATATAGTGTGATGATACAACATTCATTTCTCAGATAAATGATAGCTTGGGAAAGGGATAAAATCTGAGGAAATATTTACTTTCCACTAAAAATAAATTACAGTCATTCAGAATTAGACACAACAGTACAATATTTAATTTCTCCCAAGAACAAATGATAACCCGAGAAAGAGATATAATCTATACAAATAAAATTTAATTTATAAGAAAAATGAATTATAATCACAAAGCATGAAACATTTTGTTACTGTTGAGAGGGAGGCTAGATGAAAGTGTTATCTGTTGATGTAATGTTTCTAAGAATGAACCATTTATTACCTGTGCTGAGGAGAGAACAATCTGGGGGTACTTCTGTTTCCACTCAAGTTGCCACTGTAAGAACAGCTGTTGCTGTTGAAGCAACAATTCGTAAGAGTTTTCACAATTAGCTGGTAATGTAGCTGGTGGTTTCTGAGCACTAGGTGGACCCTAAACCAGAACCAGAATATTAATTTTTCTGAATTTTTCTCTTCAACAATTACACTTTGTAATTTGTCTTTTTTTTTTATAGATAAAAAAACACACACAAAAATAGTGACAAAACATTAAGAATATAGACTTATTAAAAGTTTAACAATATTTTTCTTCATTATTTAGGAAAATTTTTATTTTTCTAAGTAATGACTTCAAACTTTGTTTCACAACCCCAAAGAGAGAGCCAGAAATAACTACTACACCTTGTACTCATGGAATTTAATAGTCTTTGTCTTAGGTTGAATTTTAGACTTGGACTTTTTACGACTTCTGCTGGAGCTACTGCTTCCTCCACCAAGCTCACGGGTCTGACCGTGATCTTGACCAGTGACAGCCTGAGAGGGAGATTTGACTTGGCTGGATGGTGGACTCAAAGTCTGACTCCATGCTGGGGAAGAAACCGAGCTCGGAGGTGAGGAGAAAGATGTTGTCCGAGTGTCACTGTAAGAGCTAGGAGATTCCAAAACTGGAATAGGTGAAGTCTGTCTAGTCTCAATGGATGTAAAACTATAAAAAACAAAAATCTTTTAAATACAACATAAACGGAATACGGACAAATCAAGTGCTGAAAGCAGCTATGAAGCTACAACTCAATTAAAATTTAGGGACAATCAAAATGTAAAACACTTCTATACAGAAAAATAGGTTAGGTGCCTAAGAGAGGAAGAATAATGTATACAACTCCATCGTCTTACAACATGACATAAGTTGACAGATAAGATTACGTTTAAACATCACTTCAGTAAATATTTTTAGAAATATACATTGAAATAAAGAATTACTTACTTCAACTTTGTTTTTTTTGATATACAGATTTATCAATTATCAGTTAAAAAGTTAATAAAGGTAACTTTAGATCCACCAAGTGTGAGATTTGGAATTTTTATTATGGCCTTATGAAGTAAACTTAAGTTATCTACGTTAGAAATAGCTTACAACGAGATGATTTTAAAGTTGAATCAAAGCCTTTCTCCAGTCTTTATTTGAATAAAGTGACACCAAAGCCACTCACTAGCAAATGTTTTCTAACCTCTTAAGACGCTGATCACAAAGTTTTTATTACATGTGATCACAGTCGTAGCCTAACAGGGTCGAGGACAAGTCACAAAGCTATTTTCCTACCTGTTCTGTGACTGGTCATTCACATCCTGAAGAGGAGATAGGGCTCCTTCACTACTGTTGTCTTCTTCCAACACAAATCTTGTTGGTGGATGCTTGCAAATTTCACCTTCAGATGTTTTTTTGAAAGGAATCTGTCCCTCTGTAAGTATTCATACAGTAGACAGACACAAAAATATTAATTATGCTTATCTCTCAACATATTGTATTACTAGTTGGAGTACCTGTCTCCTAGATGGAATTTATGTAAATTCATAATTAATAAAAGGTTATCTTAGGAGATGAAAAGTTGTTTCCCTTATATGTAATTGTAAAAAACAGTCATAAAATCTGTAGGAGTATGTGATGTTTAAATTTACCGCAAGGGCAACTTTCACTAATACAGGTACAACAAGGCCAACTTTCACTAATGTTTACAGGTACAACAAGGCCAACTTTCACTAATGTTTACAGGTACTACAAGGCCAACTTTCTCTAATGTTTACAGATACAAGAACAACTTTCTCTAATGTTTACATGTACAACAAGACTAACTTTCTCTAATGTTTACAGGTACAACAAGGCCAACTTTCACTGATGTTTACAGATACAACAAGGCCAACTTTCACTAATGTTTACAGGTACAACAAGGCCAACTTTCACTAATGTTTACAGGTACAACAAGGCCAACTTTCACTAATGTTTACAGGTACAACAAAGCCAACTTTCTCT